CAGTGCAGTGCAGTGCAACAGTGCAGTGCAGTGCAGTGCAGTGCAACAGTGCAGTGCAGTGCAACAGTGCAGTGCAGTGCAGTGCAGTGCAATGCAGTGAACTGCAACAGTGCAGTGCAATGCAGTGCAGTGCAGTGCAGTGCAGTGCAGTGCAGTGCAGTGCAGTGTGAGCGAACAATGCAACAACAAAGCAAGCACTTCGTTCAATTTATTTTCAATTCCCGGTGATGATGCTGAAGCTATTTTGTTATTTCTACAATCATTTCAAGCGCTTTAATTTATCTTACCTTAATTATCAGGGTTTTATAAAGGAAGTTTGCCATTGAATAATTAACTTGTGCTATGTAACTCAGTTTCCGGTTATTTCCAGTTTATCCTGCAATTATTTCAAGCGTATTTTTCAGTAATTTCTAATTACTTTACATTAATTTTCACTTTATTATCCAGTTATTTTAAGTAAAAGTTCCAGTAATTTCCAGTTAAAGTTCCAGTAATCTCCAGTTAAAGTTCCAGTAATCTCCAGTTAAAGTTCCAGTAATTTCCAGTTAAAGTTCCAGTAATTTGCAAATAAAGTTCCAGTAATTTCCAGTTAAAGGCCCAGTAATTTCCAGTTAAAGTTCCAGTTTATTCCATCTCGCTTTCCATTTGCTACAGGGGATTGAAACCTGCAACCGTAGACCATTAGGAGCGCTAAAGCTGTTCAGAAACCAACTTGCAGACTCACGGCAGCGCTTGCAGACTAACGGGAAGTTCTTGCAGACTAACAGGATGCGCTTGCAGACTAACAGGATGCGCTTGCAGACTAACAGGATGCGCTTGCAGACTAACGGGAAATGCTTGTAGACTCACGGGAAGTTCTTGCAGACTAAAGGGAACTTCTTGCAAACTAACGGGAAGTTCTTGCAGACTAACAGCTAGGCTTACAGGAAAGGGCAGCGTTGCAGACTAACGGGAAATGATTGCAGACTAGCATGAAAATTTCTGTATTTGAAAAAAATTGTAATTATACTTTTATAATCTTCCAATAGTTATTTTTCTCAGAGTATGAGTTTAAAACAATGTAAATAAAGAATGAGTTATTGTTATTCGCATGTAAAGGCATTAAAGAAACGAATGTTTATTTAACTTATTATAAGGTGCTGTTTGGAATTTCTTTGTTTTCATGGTTTTTTAGGTACATAAGAAAAGTCCAGATTAGTATCCACGGTAACATTAGATAAAAGGTTTTATCGTTTTCCAAATCAGAAACTGTGTTGTTTGATTTAGAAAAAACATAAATTTTACTTAGTTTGCGAGTTTTAAAACAAATTTAATAGAGAGGTTATTTAATAGAGGTTATATTAGAGGCTAGGTGATGAAGATAACCTTACTAAAAATTTTAGGCCTCTTTTGGCTGGCCGTTGTATGGCTGGACTTCAGCTTTCGCTTGTTTTTTTATATTGCGATTTACCTGCTATTGTAGAAATAAATTTTCGAAAATTTTAATTTGAATTCGGGATACCGGTAAAAAAATATTATTGCGCCTTAATTGTGTAATTAAGGCAGTAAACATGTATAGTGTGTAAACATGCATATCAACATGTTTACACAGAACACTAAGAACAACAACAGCGTCGGCATGGCAGTAACCCCCGTGGGTTGGGGCAACCGCCTGGGGGAAGGTTGCGGGGAGAGCTAAGGCGGTAAAAGTTGACCGGGAAAATCCTGGAATGAGTGCGAAAACTCTGGGAATTTCTGGGAATTTTATTTAGTGAAGGATTTCTAGGAAAATTTATTTAGTGAATGATTAGAAGGAAATTTATTTAGTGAAGAATTCTGGGAAATTTATTTAGTGAAGAATTAACAGGAAATTTATTTAGTGAAGAATTAACAGGAAATTTATTTAGTGAAGAATTAACAGGAAATTTATTTAGTGAAGAATTTTTGGGAAATTTATTTAGTGAAGAATTTTTGGGAAATTTATTTAGTGAAGGATTTCTAGGAGGGATTTGCGCGGAAAGTTTTGTAGGAGAGGATGGAGGAAATCCTTTGCCCTACTGATTTGGCTGGAATTTTGCATGCAGAAATTAAATGTCAATGCAAAACATGGAAACTGAACGCATCAGCCAACCCTTGTATTGACTAACTATCGTGACTATCATGAATAATTCTAATACAACGTGAATTTTTTAACCTCTCAACCCTCTACCTCCCCGTTCCTTCATCACCATTCACCACATCAATTCATCTTCATCTCCCCCTTTCCCTTCATCGTTACACCACTCATTTCACTCTTACTTTTCCCCCAATCCATCTTTCCCCCCTAAAAAATATTATTTCTCAAGTTTGTTATCAAAAACACCATTACGACTTATAAAAAATGCTTTCGAGGTCAGCATGCTTTGCCTTTACTGTAAAAAAAACATGGGTGAATCTTAGGCGGCCTCCTCCCGTGTATCGCTGGCCGCCCATAATTCGACTATAATTAGTCCTTGCGTGACAGGGAAACCCAGGTTAGGGATGAACGTAGGTAACCCCGCCATCTTGGGGAAGAGAAAGCAGGCGTGTTGTTCTTAGATTTAATTGCAACAGTGTTGTTCTTAGATGTGATGGTCTGCAACTGTGTTGTTTTTAGATTTAATTGTCTCAAACTTTGTTGTTCTCAGAGATGATGGTCTACAACTGTGTTGTTCTTAGATGAGATGGTCTGAAACTGTGTTGTTCTTAGATTTAATTGCAACTGTGTTGTTCTAAGTGGTGATGGTCTGCAACTGTGTTGTCCTTAGATTTAATTGTCTGCAACTGTCTTGTTCTTAATGGTGATGGTCTGCAACTGTGTTGTTCTAAGTGGTGATGGTCTGCAACTGTGTTGTTTTTAGATTTAATTGTCTCAAACTTTGTTGTTCTCAGAGATGATGGTCTACAACTGTATTGTTCTTAGATGTGATGGTCTATAACAGTATTGTTCTTAGATTTAATTTGTCTGCAACTGTGTTGTTCTTAGATGTGATGGTCTGCAACTGTGTTGTTCTTAGATGTGATGGTCTGCAACTGTGTTGTTCTTAGATGTGATGGTCTGCAACAGTGTTGTTCTTAGATGTGATGGTCTGCAACAGTGTTGTTCTTAGATGTGATGGTCTATAACAGTATTGTTCTTAGATTTAATTTGTCTGCAACAGTGTTGTTCTTAGATGTGATGGTCTGCAACTGTGTTGTTTTAGTGGTGATGATGTCGTTCTTTCAGCGTTACAATTTTACGCTGGATAATTTTGCAAGGTAAATTCAACGCATAAATATATAATATAATAAAATAATTAATGTTATACACAAGAAACAATAACAAAAAGAAATGCATGCATTTTTGTGTCGCTGCCCGTACTGCAAAAGTGGGTCGTAACGTGAGTCGTAACGTGAGTTGTAACACGAGTCGTAAAGTGGGTTGTAAAGTGGGCGTAAAGGTTAGACGCATAACTCACGATTGCGTATGGAAAACTTGGGAAAGTTGCTTCTTATGGTGACAGTTGTTGTTATTGTCCGAACAATTGAGCGTACAATTGTACGTACAATTGTGCTCAGAATCGCTCTGAAATTTCTGTTGAATAAAGAATGAATTTAAATTAAAGTTACATGCAGCAGCAAGTTGAACCTCCGTACGTTGAAGTTTGAGTTACATGCAGCAGCAAGTTTGAACTCCCTGTGTTGAAGTTGTAGTTCCCTGCAACATTAAGTTGGACCTCCCCTGCGTTGAAGTTGAAGTTACCTGCAGCAGCAAGTTGGACCTCCCCTGCGTTGAAGTTGAAGTTACCTGCAGCAGCAAGTTGGACCTCCCCTGCGTTGAAGTTGAAGTTACCTGCAGCAGCAAGTTGGACCTCCCCTGCGTTGAAGTTGAAGTTACCTGCAGCAGTAAGTTGGACCTCCCCTGCGTTGAAGTTGAAGTTACCTGCAGCAGCAAGTTTGACCTCCCCTGAGTTGAAGTTCAACTTACCTGCAGCAGTAAGTTGGACTCCCTGCGCGTTGAAGTTGAAGTTACCTGCAGCAGCAAGTTGGAGAGGTCGCCAGGGTTCAACTTGGCCGTGGCGGACGTCACTTGGTGACGGTCGGCGGTCAGTGTGGCCGTGATGGACATGAAAGGTTCACCAGGAGTCTGCAGGTTCTGGACGGCCACGTGGTACGTGGTACCAGGGACCACTTGCCGAGACGCCACCACCACCACCGAGCTGGAGGACAACCAGGAGATGGTGGTTATGTTGGTGGTCTGATGGACAACCAGAGTACCGTTCGCCACACGCAGCCACACTACCACGCCACCTTAACGCCACCACACACATCATACCACCACCACCGAGCTGGAGGACAACCAAGAGATGGTGGTGATGCAGGTGGTGTTATGGACAGCCAGAGTACCACCCGGAGCAGTCAATTACTACTACACCACCACGCCATCACACCACCATTCCTATACACATGTACACACACATCACACCACCACAGCCAAGAAAGGGTTTAGCCATTTGCTTGGGTTTGGGTGACGACCGGTTTAACTTTAGATCTAAGCCGTTGTCCGGTGCCAAGAAGCAGTGCTCCATACCGGCTCATCGAAGTCCTGTTTCTTTGAACTCAAACTTGGTTCATTCGAACTACATGTTGTTCGCATGAGCCAATTAGTCAAGTATTGAAACAGGTCTTCACCATCCACTACAACACAGTTATACCTTCTTGTCCTTTGACTCGGTCTCACTCAGCACCCCAAATCATCCTGGGTCCATACTTTCAAAACTCGCTAAGTGAACGTAAGTACTTACTCTCTATTTTCTTGTCTATGATTGGTGGATTTTGATTGAAAGGCCGTCATTGATTGGCTGATGAACTTATGATCTCTCAACTTTTTTTGAAAGTATAGGCCCTGTACCCTAAGTCACATTGTGCCCCATCTCACCCTGTCCCCCAGCTCACATTGTGCCCCAACTCACCTTGTGCCCCAACTCGCCCTGTGCCGCAACTCACATTGTACCCGAACTAACCCTGTGCCCCAACTCATACTCGGCTCTGACGCAGCCTGTGCCCCCGACTCGTACTATGTTCCAACTCATCCAGGACTCTATCTCAACCTTTGCCCGACTCATACTATGTTCCAACCCGCTATCTCAACTTGTGCCCCGACTCGACCTGTGCCCCGACTTACCCCTGCTGGGTGGGCTGCAGCTCGGTGGGCAGGTGGGGTCGGAAGAAGAGGCTGGCGTTGAAGTGGCCGCGGGGGGTTGAACCCTCGAGGAGTGTCATCTCGCGACCTGCATAGGCGAGGGAGTTATCCTCGGTAACACAAGCAAGAAAAGGGGAGCAACATTAAGGATAGGATTGACACAGGAGCGACATTAAGGATAGGATTGACACAGGAGCAACATTAAGGATAGGATTGACACAGGAGCAACATAGGAGCGAAATTAAGAATAGGATTGAAACAGGAGCATCATTAGGGATAGGACTGACACAGGAGCAACATTAAGGATAGGATTGACACAGGAGCAGCATTAAGGATAGGATTGACACAGGAGCGACATTGAGGATAAGATTGACACAAGAGCAACATTAAGGATAGGATTGACACAGGAGCAACATTAAGGATAGGATTGACACAGGAGCAACATTAAGGATAGGATTGACACAGGATCAACATTAAGGATAGGATTGACACAGGAGCGACATTAAGGGTAGGATTGACACATGAGCAACATCAAGGCTAGGATTGACACAGGAGCGACATTAAGGATAGGATTGACACAGGAGAAACATTAAGGATAGGATTGACCCAGGAGCAACATTATGGATAGGATTGACACAGGAGCAACATCAAGGATAGGATTGACACAGGAGCAACTTTAAGGATAAGATTGACACAGGAGCGACATTAAGGAAAGTATTAACACAATAATAACACAAGTATAGCACTAACAACAACTTGATAGCCTCACTCACGTTCACGTATGTGGACATTGTAGCTGCCGATGGTCACGTTGTTGCTCGCTAGTACCAGCTGCACCATCAGCTGCACCATCAGATGCACTAGCACCAGCTGCCTACCAGCCGTAACAACCTGACTACCACCCATGCTAATTCGGCAAGGTATTAACAAGCGTCAAGAATAGCTATACAACATTGCAATTTTCGGTACTTTACTTTAATGATGAAAAAATTAGATGTGATCAGAGGTTACTGTTGTTTTTATACCTGCTGATGACACTTGAAAACTGCAACACTATAAGTTAGATATTATACACTATTAGATATTGCAGTATTACAGATTACACTATTACATAAGGCACTATTAGATTTTGCACTATTAGATAAAGCACTTTCAGATATTGTACTATTAGATATTGCACTATTAGATATTGCACTATTAGATATTGCACTATTAGATGATATACTATTAGATATTGCACTATTAGATGATACACTATTACATATTGCACTATTAGATAAAGCATTTTCAGATATTGCACTATTAGATGATGCACTATTAGATATTGCACTGTTAGATGATGCACTATTAGATAACGCACTATCATGTGTTGCACTATTACATATTACACTGTTACATGATACACTAGCAAGATATTACACTAGTTAGATATTAAACTGCTTGGATGATGCAATGGTAATGGTAATGGTGTAACATTATCCATAATGTAATGTAATGGTTCTAACATTATCCACCAATTTGCTTTGCTCGTAGAAATCATAGAACAATTAAGAAAATTCTATGGATTCGAATTAAAAAAAATTCAAATTGTAATTAGTTTTGAAAAAGATTTTCCCAGCCATGGTGGGTAAGTGGGTCACAACAACCCACTTTAGTGGCTGTGCTTGATCAGCAGGCGCGTGCTGTATACTCCACAACACAGACGCTGTGTGGCCACTGAATGGAGATTGTGTGGTCGCTGGATGAGCTGTGTGTTGTACTTGTGTTGTGTATGTCACGTTCGATGATACCGTGACGTCATGTATCTTTCATCTGTGTCTTGTATGAGTGTCTTGTATGAGTGTCTTGTATGAGTGACATGTATGAGTGACATGTATGACTGTCCTGTATGAGTGCCCTGCATGAGTGCAACTGATTACTACTGATAAAAAATGCATCATGGCACAACTTGCATTTCTAAGCATAACATTAACTACATTTCAACACATCGCATGTATCTTCATAACTCATAGAAATATTTACACGTTACGTTTTTTTCCATACGAGGCACACCACACACAAAGCAGTCACACACACAACACACAAAATAGACACACACAACCCGCAAAACAGCCATACACAATACACAAAATAGCCACACATAACACACAAACCAGCCACACACAACACTCAAATTAGACACACATAACACACAAATCAAACACATACAACACAAAAAGCAGCCACACACTACACACAGAACACATGAACGGCTTCATTGCAATTAACAATTTAATGCAACCGTTCAGTTTAACGTACAATTTTAAAAACTAATACCACAAAATACAAGCGAAATCAAACAATCCCTATACGTGCACAAAATAATTATATATATTGTAAATTATATTGAAATAAAGCCAAGTAATGCGACAGTCGCGACACCAAATAAAGAAATTCTTATTTTACCTAACCGCGTCCCTGAAAAGTCCTACACGCTACTGCGTTCCCAAAAAGTCCTTCACGCTACCGCGTCCCCGCAAAGTCCTTCACGCTACCGCGTCCCCGAAAAATCCTTCACGTTACCGCGTCCCCAAAAAGTCCTTCACGCTACCGCGTCCCCAAAAAATCTTTCACGCTACCGCGTCCCCGGAAAGTCCTTCACGCTACCGCGTCCCAGAAAAGTCCTTCACGCTACTGCGTCCCCGAAAAGTCCTTCACGCTACCGCGTCCCCGAAAAGTCCTTCACGCTACCGCGTCCCCGAAAAGTCCTTCACGCTACCGCGTCTCCGAAAAAGTCCTTCACGCTACCGCGTCCCCGTAAAGTCTTTTACGCTACCGCGTCCCCAAAAAGTCCTTCACGCTGTCGCGTCCCCAAAAAAAGTCCTTCACGCTACCGCATCCCCGAAAAGTCCTTCACGCTACTGCGTCCCCAAAAATCCTTCACGCTACCACGTCCCCGAAAAATCCTTCACGCTACCGCGTCCCCAAAAATCCTTCACGCTACCACGTCCCCGAAAAGTCCTTCACGCTACCGCGTCCCCGAAAAGTCCTTCACGCTACCGCGTCCCCGAAATGTCCTTCACGCTACCGCGTCCCCGAAAAGTCCTTCACGCTACCGCGTCCCCGTAAAGTCCTTCACGCTACCGCGTCCCCGAAAAGTCCTTTACGCTACCGCGTCCCGAAAAGTCCTTCACGCCACCGCGTCCCCGAAAAGTCCTTCACGCTATTCAAATTACACCGTGAATATAATTTTTCTTGTATTGAACAGTGATTACCTTCAATTTAAATAATCTCCCTTCACTTGTGTCGCTTCCTCCGTTGGGAATAATCACTGTAATCAACGAGGTCTGTTTCCTCAGACCTCCTCCCCGGGGGGATATGCTAGGGGACCACCATATGGCAGGCCGCCTATGACGCGACCATAATATCTAGCAGGCCATACACGTGGATCAGATTACGAGCAAATCCAGCCCATATGATCGATCGATTAAAAAACGCGAGTTATCGATGGATTTTTTGCTTAAGCTTGACCTTCAAATTAACATCGCATAAATGATCGATCTGTTGACGAATTATCGATCTTTTTATTTAGAACTTAATCGATCAAAAGTTCTATTTCGTGCGAATGATCGAATTCGGTTCATTGATCCGATTGAACGATAGATCAAACCCACGCGAATGATCGATCTGTTAACGAATTATCGATCGATATATTATATATATATATAAATATATTGATATATATCGATCTAAATATATCGATATATATCGATAATTTTAGAATTTAATCCAGCAAAAGTTCTATTTCGTGCGTATGATCGAATAATAATTAGATTCATTGATCTGATCGCAAGATAGATCAAACCCACGCAAATGATCGAATAATCGTTCGATTTATTGATCCTATATCGAACGATCGAACGATAGATCAAACCCACGCGAATGATCGATCGTCTGGTCGGCCGTGATCGGCAGCAGGGTTGAGCCGTGGCAGCAAACTGGCAATTACGCCTGCCATTGTTGGGGCGCGCGGTGAAAGCTTTGTGCTCATGTCTTGCCTATTACTGTTGTGTACAATGTACAGTTTCTTGTACACATGTGTCCACTTACACTATTCCGAACAAATGGCCATGTCTTGTACACATGGTTGTTACATACTCTATTATTTGTATTGAACTCTTAGATTTGTACACACGTGTACACCCACAGTGTCTTGTACACATGTAGACACTTACACTGTTATTACTGATGAGTACAATGTAGTGTTTTGTACACATGTGTACACCCACAGTGTCTTGTACACATGTGTACACCCACAGTGTCTTGTGCACATGTGTACACTTACACTATTATTACTGATGTGTACAATGTACAGTTTCTTGTACACATGTGTGTGTACACCCACAGTGTCTTGTACACATATGTACACCCATCTACACCCACACTGTCTTGCACCATGTGTACACTTACACTATTATTACTGATGTGTACAATGTACAGTGTCTTGTACACATGTGTACACCCGCAGTGTCTTGTACACATGTGAACATCTACACTATTATTACTGATGTGCACAATGTACAGTGTTTTGTACACATATGTACACCCATGTACATCCACAGTGTCTTGTACACATTGTGTACACCCACAGTGTTTTTGTACATATGTGCACACTTACAGTATTATTACTGGTGTGCACAATGCACAGTGTCTTGTACACATGTGGACACCCACAGTGTCTTGTGCACATGTGTACACTCACAGTGTCTTGTACACATGTGTACACTCACAGTGTCTTGTACACATGTGTACACTCACAGTGTCTTGTACACATGTGTACACCCACAGTGTCTTGTACACATGTGTACACTTACACTATTCCGAACAAATAGCCATGTCCTGTACACATGGTTGTTACATACACTATTATTTGTATTGAACTCGTAGATTTGTACACACGTGTACACTCACACAGTTCCGAACAAATGGCCATGTCTTGTACACATGCTACCTGCACTGTATTATTTGTATTGTACTCGTATATGCACGCATCAGACCACAGCCATCAGTCCCGTGCGTAGCAATGAAGGCATACAACACAACAACGTCTTACTAGCTACACGATCATCTTTCCTAATGTTATATTCATTCATATTCTAGTTATATTCTAGTAATATTCTAGTTATCTTACTAGCTACACAATCACCTTTCCTAAGTTATATTCATTCATATTCTAGTTATATTCTAGTTATATTCTAGTTATCTTACTAGCTACACAATCATCTTTCCTAAGTTATATTCATTTATATTCTAGTTATATTCATTCCCATATTCTAAATTTTTACCTACATCCTATATTTATATCCATATTTTATATTTATACAAAAAAGAAGATTAATAGCCACACTCCAGATTTACACCCATTTTCTAGATTTATATGAATAGTCCAGATTTATACCCATATTATAAATTTGTACGTATATATGAACTAGATTGGCATTCAATTTAATATGAATGAATGAATTTGGACTAAGAGAATTCGTTCCCTGCAGTCAGCATATGTTTCATTAATGCCTATTAGGCTCCTTGCAGCAAATAATTTAATTTAAACAAGGAAATAAATTTAGAAAAGTTATTTTCAACATTGTTTGATGCGTAAATTGAAATATCATGTCGAGTAACAACGGGGCCAAATACTTCAATACTTCTTCATTCTTCAAATACTTCATACTTCAATAACTTCTAATTAAATTCTTACATTAATATTAAATGTGAATGTTCTCATACTAATTATTCTCTCATGCCAATTTTGATCTCATGCTAATCATGCTATCATGCTAATCATTTGGAGGTTGGCCGAAGGCTAGAATGTGAACGCATAAGTGATAAAAAAGATACGATTACAAGTTAACATGGAAAATTCACTGTTATTTATATTGAATACTTTGAAGTTATTCAATTTGAATAAAATGACAGTATTTAATTTATGAAAGTAATGCTATTTAATTACTGAAATTATTGGTAATAAATTTATGTGAAAATGGTATATAA